CCCGCCCGGGGGTTGCTGCGGGTTGAACCCTCTTCATACAGGGCCGGGTTGGGTAACCTACCTAACCGGCCCATTATTCTACCTCTATCCACAACTCAAGTCATGATCAAAATACTGAAGCAAGTTCAAATTCAAGAAATTCCAAAATTCGAATCTCATTTCAAAGCACCAAACTTCCTCATTTCAACTCCGATTCTCGACCTATTTTGCATGATTTCTTCCAAATGTATTCCAAAAGCTCATGTACCTTCAAAATTTAAAAAACCACTTATTGTTAAGGTAAAACCCACAAATAACAACTAAAAACATAATAAAATACTAGGACAAATATTGGTTTATCAATTGGGGGATGGTCTAGTTCAACTTGCAAATGATGGATGATTACTCAAAGCTGATCCTTGTCATGTCAAAGTGGACCATGAGAAGCAATTATGGTTCTGCTTGAGGAAGTCGATGAGTGATCTGCCATCTACAAATATCTTTTTAACAAGAATGTTCACTATTTGGAGAGAGATGACGAAAGCTTTATGGTGAGGGTTGGCTAAGGTCATGGTTTTATTGTCATCAAAGCTGATGGTTTGGTCGGTTGGTACTTGCAAGGGTGGATGGGATATCTAGGCATTTGGGTTGGCTACGGGCCTAGTATGAAGATTGATGAAGGAGTAACTAATACCACTTATCTCACAGCCATCGGAGATTATATGGTAGGTGTCTTTTGGTATGGGTTCTTCGAGAAAGGTGGTATCTCGGGTGGTTCGTTGGTTGATGTTGTTTTTACCCTTGTCGGTCAAAAGGTCTCGGAGGTGTCCTCTCTTTAGTAATGCTATAACCTCAAGCCGAAAAGTGATACAGTTGGCGGTGTAATGGTCATGATCGTCATGGAACTCACACCACTTAGAGGTATATTTCTTTCCCAAGATTAAGTTTGGTCAGCCACTTCACTATGTTTCTCATCCCCTTCATGATCGCAACAACTTGGGTTGCGTCGACATTGAAGTTGTACTTTGGAAGCTTGGGTCGACTTGAGCTTGACACTCGGCTGGTAGGTTGAGTCGACTGACAATCTTACAATCTCCTATTGTCTCTATTGGAGCCGCATGGTAGAGGTGCGAGGTAAGGTTCATATGGGCGAGAATCATATAGTTGATCATTCTGTTTAGAATGACAGTCATCATTGTAGGTGTGTCTGATTCTATTCACATCATTCTCCTCCCATCTTATCTAGAGCTGTCAGTCGAGCCGAGCCGCTTCGTGGCTCGTTAGCCTACTCGAATTCGACTCAAGTAAGGTACCGAGCCAAGTTCGAGTCTACCCTAACTCGGCTCGATTTGGCTCAAGAGCCAATAGTGGCTCATTTAAGGTTTTTTTTTTTTTGCGTATAATACAAGTTTTTGGTTTGTTTTGTAATTTGACATGTAAAAGACTAAAAGGTTTAAAAAATCACAAATTAACCCTTAACCAAATAACCCCAATTAGCCCAAATCAAATCGCGTAAATGCATTCTCCCCCAAAATTCTATGCCGTTTTGATGATAATTTTGATGTATTTTAATGGACATTAGTTTTTTTTTTTTTTTTTTTTTTTTTTTTTTTTTTTTTGTGTCTTGGATTATATAATTTGTTGTGTAATACATTGTTTATGTTGATTTGGATGTGATTTATGTTCATTTAGATGCAAATTTATCAAAATTTGAATCAGATTTGTGTAAAACAAGATCTGCAGTTTATATTAAAAAATGGTCAAACAAGTTGTAATCGAGCCACAATTGAGCCAATTCGAGCTTGAGTTAAACGAGCTCGAGTCAAGTCACAAGCCAGCACTAGCCGAATTTTCCTGACTCGGTCGACTCGAACTCGTCTAATGCTTAACCGATCCAGGCTCATTTAGGGTGATATTTGGCTCGACTCGACTCATTTACACCCCTAATCTTATCTAAGTGATGGCTTGGGCTAATGCATCCTCCATGGTGTTGCAATCGAGTTTTGTGAGATTCTTATAAAGCTTGCCATCAGGGAGGAGTCCCTTTCTAAAGAATTCGATCGCTGTCTCCTAGTTGCAGTATGGTATGAAGATATTTTCTTTATTGAATCGGCTCACATACTCTTGGAACGGCTCTCCACGATGTTGGTAGATCCTATAGAGGTCCCTAGACAACTTCTTTAGTTTCTTTCTGCTAGCAAATTGATTAATAAAGGTGTCAGCCAATTGACCGAAGGAGGCTATGATATTATGGGGGAGGTTGGTGTACCATTGGAGGGTAACGCTAAAGAGGTTGGAGCCAATACTTTTGGACATGTATGCCTCTCTTAGGTGTTAAGGAATGGAGGCGACAAACATCCTCTGTTTGTAGGAGGGTATATGATCATCCGAGTCAGTCATACCATCATAAGCTTTCATGCTTGGGAAGGTGAATTTGCTAGGCATTTTGGCGAGGGCTATGGAATCAACAAAGAGTGAGTCAACATAGCATTGGGGTAGACTTTTCTTGATAGGGGTTGGTACTCTGGGAATACGTCTCATTATGACCTCTATATTAGCCAACCTCTTAGCCATTGCTTGTTCAAGAGGTATGGCAGTAGACAACAAGTTTGCGTTGAAGATTGATTGGGAGTTTTGGATGCTACTTAGCAAACTAGGATGAGTTGAGCCAGGTGGGATAGAATGGGGGTTTTGTCCAACACGGAGTGTTACATGAGGATTGGGGTAACCACTCGTCCTATTGGGATAAGCCGAGTTGAGTGTGACCAAACAGGTGTTTTGGCCAGCATGTATGGTCATTGGGGTATTTGGGATGCCAATCGACATATGGGGATGAGTCGAGCCGAGCCAAGTGGTGCTACGTGGGAATGTAGGCCGACCATGTTTTGAGGGATGGGAAGGTTGAAGGTTACGGTTTCTTGGAGTGGTTGGGTCGACGCTATCTGAGTGAGTAGATTAGTAGTATGCAGATGTTCGGTTAACAAGGGTCGAGTTTGCATGGTTAAATCAATAAGGTTGGTTATGGCTGGAGCCAAGTCATTATTTAAAGTTGAATAAAGATGGGATGACTGAGGGTTTGGAGTTGTGGATCTTAGGTCAGGGGTCATGAGAGGCTGCATGGGGTTTATTGGGATACATAATCTATTTTTGGGCACTTGGTTTGGGGTTAGGTCGAGAGAGTAGGCTTCCTTGACTCTTTCTCGAAGGGCCTAGTTCTTAGGTTGGATGGTGGGCTTCCACCGTTGTGACCCTATCAGTGTGTTCTTGCATTAGGGTAGTGAGGGTCGTGATCTGTGCCACAAGGTTTGGTGAAGCAGTTTTTGTGGTTCCAGCCATGACGAAAGTCTTTGTGAACCAAATTGTTTACGAATTGATGATTGTTAGAGGCCCCACGGTGTGTGCCAAATTGTAGATGGTAAAAACCTAGGGTTACGAAAGGGACGGATCATGTGAGGTTGATGCCACTAACAATCTTCTTAACCTGCACACACAAAGAAGTAAGCGCAAACTTGGGGGGGACATCGATGTGGTGTTTTCCGTAAGCACTCTAATGCTCAAGTTAGTGAGGTTGAAAGGCAATTTAGTGAGAGCTAAGGGGGAAAGGGTTATCGGAATCTCATTGGAGACTAGAACTATAGCAAGGAAAATGGTGGTTCTTAGGAACAAGAACTTTGGGAGCAAGTAGGTGATATTGAAATTGAATGCGTAATGAGAGGTTAGGCTTCTGTTTATATAGGCAGCTTAAGGGGCTTGAGTCCTAGTAGAACTCTGAGTTTATAATGACGGAGTTTGAGTAAATAGAAAAGTCTTGATTTACTTGCCTTTGTGGGAGAAAGAGTCATAATTCATGTAAGAGATCTTAGATGAATTAGGATATAAATGCAAACCTTAGATGGATTTGGATAAAGGTAGAATTCGTAGATGAATTAGGATGTTGATGGGACTCTAGGTCCTTTGGAGCGGCCATAGGTCGATGGGTTGGAGCCCAAGTGGGCTTGTAACAAGGCCCACTCGTGGAGTGACCTTGGTCAAATGATGATCCATGTTGTTAAGTAACCCGATTCGTGGAATGGGCCGACTTGTAGAGTGGATCCTAGCGTAAGCCCAACCACAGTTGGACCATGGCATTGGGCCATGCATAGTTTGTTTTGTGTTTGGGTCTGATAAGGCCCGTCACGATTTTTGGCCCATACAATAATTATCCTTTTTTTTTTATCATTTCCAACTTTCAATTTAATTTGCACTTTTCCAGAATTTATAAGTTTGTTATTTATTTTAAGAAAATAGATGTCATATGAAATAATTGAAGCTTAACAGTGTGTACAACAGATTAAATGTTTGATTGATATGTTAAATAAAGACAAAGAGTATATCTAAAATAAGAATTGAGAAAATATACCATGAATAATGAAAATATAAATTATGAATAATTTTGTAAATAGATGAGATTTATCTAAAAGTTTAGCTATATTTAAAAAAAAAAAAAAATTAAGGAATAAACTTAGAAATGGGATTTATAAAGATAAATACACTCTTAAATTAATTATATTTTATCTTATTTCTAAACGACCATTTTTTATACTCACATTCGCTTCTTACAAACTCCAACTTCTTAGCTAGATCTTCATCTTGGTAACTAGACTTTTACCAACCAAGTGGCCAAAAGATGAAGTGAAGGAAGCAAATACAGGGTAGACTAGAGACTATAACTTTGAAAAATATACCTTGTTCTTTACTTTTTTATTAGTTTTCTTATCCGAAACTTTACTTTATTATTTCAATGATTGCATGATTAGTGCAAATTAATTTGGCTATGCAAAGAACATTTAAACCTTCTATGGGAAAAGATGTTGTATTTGTCTAGAAAAGAGATTCATGAATAGGTTAATGACTTTCACAAGCCCATCAGTTCCATGGGCCTTAATCCAGGGACATAAAGCCCAAATAGAAAAGGATTAAGACGGAATGCCTCATTATTATATTTCACTGTGCCTTAAACTTTGAAGTAGTTTAACCCCACACGGAAGTCGAAAACTATATATAAAGTAAAGAAAGAATCAGAAGAGTACGAAGCGTTTTCCGATCACCGTTGTATTCCAAAACTTTTAAGAAAGCGAAATGGCAGCCGTAGATGAGTCTCCTGCAGCGAAGAGGTGGCTTCCTCTGGAAGCTAATCCCGATGTCATGAACCAGGTTTCAATCAGAACTTTTTCTCAGAAAAATTGTTTTTTTTTTTTTTTTTTTTTTTTTTTTTTTTTTTTTTTTTGTTTTTTTTTTTTTTTTTTTTTTTTTTTTTTTTTTGGGGATTATTATCGTTATTATGGATACTGTAACATCGACTTGTTCTTACGAGATTTTTCGATTCTTGGTTCCTATTTTGCTTATAGTAACTGATTGATTGCTTTTTATTTTGGTGCAAGTTTGTGGAGGTTGTTTTTAGAGATTGCTTGGTTACTAACTAAATAATAATAATAATAATAAGAACAGGCCTTAATTTGATTATTACCTTTTCTACAAAAAAATAAAAAAAGAACTATGATTATATATTTTTCGCGAGTTATTACTAGATTGTATTGCCTGAGAACTGTTTGTTTGTATTGTAATTGTGCAGTTCCTTTGGGGTCTGGGTCTTCCTGAGGGCGAGGCTGAGTGCTGCGATGTGTATGGCTTGGATGAAGAACTCTTGGCAATGGTTCCACAACCTGTTCTTGCAGTGTTGTTTCTTTATCCCATAACGCCACAGGTGTGTTAAACTAATCTTTCTTTTTGGTTCATTTACAATATATGGTTGTCCTTTAATGTGAATTTCTGTCTTCGTGTGAATTATGACAATATACTAGTTTTCTAATCTTGTTGAAATTTCTTTATGAAGAGTGAAGAAGAAAGACTGTTGCAGGCAAATGACAAAAAGGTGAGTGCCAGCATAATTCCTTTAATTTAAATCACAATTTATTTTTTGACATTCGGGATTCAAACCACAGTAATGCTTTATTGCAATATACTTTGTTTTGTTGAGTATGATTTTACTAAGATCTTTGCAAAATTTCTGATTATAGGAATATAGCAATGATGTTTATTTTATGAAACAAACTGTTGGAAATGCTTGTGGAACAATTGGACTTCTTCATGCTGTCGGGAACATCACTTCAGAAATCAAACTTGGTTAGTAGAGCTGACTTTTTGTTTCATTGACAAATCATGACTTTAGAGATGCATGGTCCTTCTAAAGATGCAATTAATTTCGTATGAGGAGAGAATTTAAAAGCTACAAATAGTTCACCATTCTTGCACTCATTACTACTTGGATTAATCGCTGCTAATTCTGTTGTGGTTTGTGTTAACAGGTGGCATAGCAGATTAATTTAGATAAGCTTGTGGATTTTTGAAATTACCAACCGAAATTAAAAAATCCTTTCATGCACTTGTCTTTTTGATTGTGGAATTATGCTGAGGCTGTGTCATATTGTGATTTAGGAGCTACTAGGCTTCCATTTTACAACTACAACCAATTCGGGCAAACAATTGAGTGAAGATTGTACAGTTACAGAAAATTTTCAGAAATTTATTTAGTACTCAGAGAAGAAAGAGAGGCAAAGAAAGAGCATTATATGCAGAACCCAGGATATGTTCGGTTTATTAAGTACTTTCCTTTAACTAATTGAATGAAGGAGATAAATAGTAAAAACCAAATAAAAATTAAGAACTTCAGCTACCATCTTGTCTGTCATAATTTAGAATTAATATTAAAAAAAAAAAAAAATTAGGGGGGAAAATGATTAGGTGCTTCTAATGGATGTTGCACCTAGGAGGTGGCCTTTCTATTTTCTGCCTAAGCAACTTTGTGGATCAGTATAGATGTCCAAGCCACAAAAAGAAGGTTTTATTGTGATGCAGTTGTATTGCTGGGAGTATGATTGTTTTGATAAAAGCTTATAGTTTTTTCTTGTTTTCATGGTTTTTCTAAATGCTGGGAATTTTGATATATGAACCAAGTGCTTGTTTGTAACTTAACCTTTGCTTGGTATTTCCTTGTTATTTCAGTCGATGGATCATTCTTGGATAGGTTTTTCAAATCCACAGCAAGCTTGGGGCCACAAGAGGTTCTCTTTCTACTCTTCCTTCTTTCCCACCCATGGCCTTGACTGTTCACTTTGGAATATGGTCTCCTCATTTTTCACTTCTTACTTTTTTTTTTATGATTTTCATATGCTTGTGTAGCGTGCAGCATTTCTAGAAAATGACCGAGAAATGGAAGTTGCTCATTCAGTTGCAGCTACTGCTGGCGATACAGAGGTATGCATTTGTAGTTGTTGTAATGTTAAGTGAATAAAGCCGTGATTACTTTTTTCTTGAAGGATATTCTGCAATTTTGGTGAACTTACAGCTGGGCATTAGATCTTTGAAAACTTATTAATTGTGTTATTTGAGCAAAACCCTATTTGTTAATTTGCCTCTTTTTCCCTTCTTTTTTTTTTTTTATAGGTAAGAATTGGCCAGAAATATTGAAGTTGTCTAAATTATATTCCCTCTCTGACCAGATTTAGGCTTGGATACTAATTTAGACACTCTCATAAAGGTAGCTGCAGGAATTGAAAATTGCTGATTCTTACTTGTGGAGATGGATTTGTAATTCTCACGCTTTTATGGGAATTGGTGAAGAATCTGTGGGGATTTGAATTTCAGCAAACTGTCAAACATTCAGCCAAAAACTTATTGGTTGTTCAAAATTTGGAATTCCGATGAGATTAGCAAGCCGTATAAAAGATAGATTTGGACTTTGTAGAATCATAGGTCAGAATGGTACATTGTTAAAGGAAGGTAGGATTGAGTCTGATTTCACAACCACGAAATAAATTTGGTCAAATGAATTTGCCAGTAAGCTCATGATAGAAAGAGAGACGCTGATTTTACAAGATTTTGTTGTTTGTCCTTAATTGTTTTATGGCTTAAAAATTGTGTGCTAGTGTTTGTAAAGATTCCAGGAAATCATGGGCTATTCCAATTTCTTGTGATTCTTTACTTACAAAGAATGTTTTTGCTTTTGGAGAAGGAAAGAAGGCTAAATCTCTTTGGAGATGTGTTGTATTAGTCCTTCAGTTATGTGGTAAGAAAGAAATAATTGTATTTTGGTGAGAAAGGAGATGATAACAATGAGCTTTATGAGATGGAATTAGATTTTTTGCTTCTATTTCAGCTTCATTTCAAAGAATTTAAGCAAGTTTGTTTTTTCTTTATACATCTTAATTAGGAGGGAGTTTTGGCCTAACTTTGTACAATTTGCTTATTTTGGGATAGGGTAGGGAAGATGATGTTTGATATATTTTAGTCACTGTCATTATATGTTTGTTCCCTTTTTGGATTTTCTTAATATTTCTTTGTGGATTTCTAGTCCACATACCCACCTCAAATTTTTCTTTAACATAGATTTGTTAGTTTCTTATTAAAACATAAAAGTCATTGAAGTCGCAATTGTTTATCTTCATTTTACAGTTCAGATTTCATTTCTCTTTTCTTTGACCTATTCCAATTTACAGGCCTCTGATAATGTGGATACTCATTTTATCTGCTTCAGTTGTGTGAATGGTACATACTTCTTTCCATATTTTGTTTACGGTTTCTCCCTCTTTCATAGAAAACACAATATTGTGTTGTACTTCGATTAACTCTGCTGTTTATTCTGTGCTTTTTACCGTTTTTCTTTTTCCTTACAAATATCTTATCCTGCAATATTTAGGGGAACTTTACGAACTTGATGGAAGGAAGTCAGGACCAATATCTCATGGTGCTTCCTCACCAAGCAGCTTGTTGCAGGTATAGTAATTGGAACTATGAAACCTTACTATCTTTGCGCTAGTGTCTTCAGTTCCAAGAAGCCAGAAAAGTTGAAAAAAGAATGAAATGCTTTCTATTTTGGATCTTGAAGGAATAAGTACCGATTTATGAAAAGAGTTTAATGGTATAGAGGTAGATGCTTCCATTTTGTTTTAAAAGAATAATAAACATTGGCTACTATTAAGCAAGTTGAGACCATTACTATCTTTTTGTGGGGTCTATGCTTGGAGTGGTAGTGCACAGTTGGATTTGTTTTGGGGTATGAGATACCAAAAGTTCTTCATCAGTTTTACAAAATTCAATCAAGGAGGTTTGACTTGCTATCATAGCTTGCCTGTTTGGCTTGGGTTAAGGGCTTGGTGGAATCCAAGCCAAGTGAGCATGCCTCATTTGCAGTTTCACGTAATCATTACATGGTTTCATATGTGACTTCTAATTTTTTTTTTTTCCCTTGACAGGATGCTGCCAAAGTCATACAGAGTATGATCCAGAAAAATCCTGAATCACTCAACTTCAATGTAATTGCTTTTTCGAAAAAGAATGGAGCTACATCTTAAGGTTGGCAATGTAGTGCTGATTTAAGTCCCTCGCAAATGGTTAACATTCATAAACTTCAGCTGTTTTTGATATAATTAATTAGTAGGCATTTGTGTCTGTACCATGGTGCCTTTTTCAGTTTATGCACATGCATACAATGAGGCAAAAAAAACTTGTTTTCAGTGTCTGGTTGTAGGCCATAGCTGGGTTTAGGTCAGTTGTTTTTACAGTTGGACACTGCCAGCATGGCTCAACCCATAAAATAGTGTTATACTGCTGATTTCAGACTGACTATTTATTTGATAGATCTTTATTCTATGATGCACTTGGTTGAGTCCATTTGATTTTCCATATTGTTCCAACTCCATGCTTTGCGAAGTAGTGATTGGATTTTGATTTCTTAGAAATTGAAGTATCATGGCTAATTCCAATCTGTAATTATTTGGTTTTTTTTTTTTAAATTATTAAATTTATTTATTCATCAGTTTTGACCCGAGGTGAATCAGATATTTTATAGGGACTGTGTGAAGTATTTGACTTGAGTTGTGGTGTATTTTTGAGATGCATCAGATAAACCTAATGCTAAAGTCTACAGTTTGCTTGAGGCTGAGGTTGTATATTTTTGAAAGGCGTCATAGAAACCTCAATGTGCAAGGTGATTTTCAGTGGGTCTCAAATATGTTTTGTCATCAAGTACTAGAAAATTCTGACTCTTACTCTACAACTAGGCAAGATTACATTCATGAGGATGGTCCAATAGTAGGATCTTCATTCAAAAACCTGTAGAAGGTCCTGGTATGAAACTGAACAATCTTTTGTCATTGCTTTCACCCTGTAATTGACTTCAGTTTTTTTCCATCCCATCCTTGTTATTGCTTTCTACTCTTGTTTTGTATGCTGCCTTATTAAGAGTTCCTAATCAATGGGGTGAGCGATTCTAGGTACCTTGCATTTTTTCAAAGAATCAACCGAAAGCGAAACCGGCTGGTTCCTAAGATTTGGAACCGGAACCGGAACTTGAAACATAGGTTTCGGTTTCGAGTACCCTGGGTTGATTTCCATTACCCCCTACTTTTAAAAATGACAAATACACTCCCAATAGTTTACAAAAATTATAATTCAATCCCGATTCCTATTCGGGTACCCAGACCTTGATTTCAGTTCTGGCTCTGACTTCCAGTTCTAGCATTGTAGGAATCAGAACCGGACTTGGGAATTCCTAGTTTCAATTTTTCAGAACTAGAGCTGAACACTAATGGGGTCGGTTTCGGTTCCAGTTCTACCCTTTTCCAATGCGCACCACTAGTTCCTACGCTTAGATCAGTCGAGTCATGCCTTCTATGTCTATTGTCTTAACTATTTTAAGTCAAGAGCAGCTTGAACTGTTGCCATCTATTTCTGCTTTCTAAATCTGATGATGAAGCCACCGAAGGATATTTTTCCAGATTATCATCATCCCATGACTATAAAAGAATCATTATAGCTGTCCAAGTTCATCAACCCAAAATCACAAGCACAAAAATCATAGATACTATTTCTTTTCTTTTGTTAAGTAAGGAGAATGGGGAATCTATCTTATAAAACAGTGTTACGTGTCTGTACTCTGTATAGGTAGAGAAGCATGGAAGAAGAGAGAGCAACCTAAGGAACCAGAACTCTTTCACAAAAAAAGCTATGTTAAAATTTCATTTGTACATAAAAGAAACACGGAAGATGAGAGGTTACAGCCAAACAGCAAAATCCAAAAAAACATAAACACCTAAAATTATATAGAGAAGAAACAGAGGAAGATTAAAACAAAAAAAAAAATAAAAAAATAAAAAAATAAATTACATAGATGATATACCTATAGTCTAGAAACTGTTCTATTTCATATAGCTATTGCTATTCTGGATCTGTTGATCCATCATCTGCTCCACATCCAATTTGGAAATCCGGCTTGCAACCGCTAAATCTATTATTTGGATCAACAAACTCATATCAAGGTGGACAGTCACAATTTGGTGTCCCATCTTTGCTTGAGCAGTAGCTGTTGAAGCCACATGCTCCATTGCCAATGTCACTAAATATAACATCACAAATGTCATCAGGAATTATTTCCAGAGGCATCCAACCCTCTTTGGCTTCAGAGTTCATTCCAAAAGCACTCACTGAAAACTCCGTCAAAGTCCAATGTTGCGCGATAATGCTGCTCAACCGTAGGAGTTATTTTACTCCATTGAGGCAATTGAACAATTTCACCATTGGTTTTTTCGACGTAAATGTCGTCTGATTCATTGAAAACCAACTGATGACCCGAGTAGAAAGAATTTGTGCTATAACTATAATGTTTTATTACCAAAAAGATAGAATTACTAGTGAGATTGATAACTTTAAAAATTAATAAGTATTGTTATTGTGTTTGATTCGTGTGGACTTTATAAATAATTAATGTGTTTGGTTGGTAGTAATTACAAAATACTTAGATATTATTTTACTGAAATGTCATTTACAAGATTATATATCAGTATATTATCATCATTATATATGGGGTATTTTTTGTTCAAATAATTAATTAATGAGGTTAAAGAAGTAATTCAACAAGTTGAGTTATTTGTTATTTGACTTAAAAAGAAGCACATTTATGGTTGAAACTTTTATTAAGTAAGGGTAAAATTAGAACAAAAATAAAATTACATTGATAATCTTAAAATACCACTCTTTGAGTTGGTAATCACATACTATTCTTTCATAAAAAAAGGTTGTTCCTTCCATTCTTTTATAAGGAATGATTGTTCCTTTATAGGGAATGATCATTCCCTATGAAGGAACGACCATTTTTTTTTTTTTTTTTTTTTTTTTTTTTTTTTTTTTAGTCAAAATCATTTTTAAGGTGGTAGTGCCAACTCAATTGTCACGTCGAAGTTGTAAGAGAAGTTTGTGAAAATACGTTGTAGGTGTAGCATTACTTATAACCTTATGCATTAAATAATGTAGTGATTCAAAACGGTCTCACAAAGACCATTACAATTCAAATTTATTTATTTATTCTTGACTTATTTTTCTTATTTTTTCTATTTAACTTAAACTTTAAACTAAAGAGAAGAAAAAATACTTATTTTTTATTAGACAACGACCACTTTTAAAAAGCAGAGGAAGTAGATTTGGTTTTTGATTTTTTTTTATTCATGAAAACTATCTATATTAAAAAAAAAGAAAAAAAAAAGATAGAATACCCTACCTTGTCCACTGATAAGAGGAGAGCAAAATCTAGATAAATATCAATACCTGTGACCTGTCGCAGGTAGAAGAATAGACATTAAAATAAAAAACTCTTAGGGGGTCAAAATTGTTAAGGTAACAACTTTGGGCATCACCAGCTCTCATAGTCTAATGAGTGGCATGCATTGTTTTAAAACTCAGCTTGGCCTGGTCAATTCAACCAGGACCTGGGGCCTTCTCTGGCCGAGTCACCCCTGTCCACTGTTTAAAACCCCAAATTCACAAAGAAGCAAACCTTAGAGAGGAGGACAATGATTGGCGAACAGACAGTGGTGGCTTTGGGGGTTTTGGAGAGAATGCCGGTGAGTCAAAAGATGGCGACGAAGTTGACTTTAGGTGAGTGAAATAACAGAAAAAGGCAAAAGTCGCCTGGCCACGATAGCGAGCTGTTGTTGACTATTGGTGGGGCGAACAAGGGGGTGAGAAAAGTTTTGGTCAAGAGGCTAAGAGGAGTGTTTCAATGGTGATGGGGGCGATTGTCGACGCCGGAAACAAGCCTATTTGGCCTGGGTTGGCAGTCGCGCTCGGTTGGTTTTTTTTGTAGAAAATAGTTCTATTTCAACCAGATCTTAGGTAAATTTGTTGGGAAATGGCTCAAAGGGTGACTGGGTGAGTAGGATTTGCATGGTGTTCGTTGCCCCCAACCAGTGGATCGTCTGTTTGCATTTGGCCAGATCATAATGGTGTATTTGCATAATTTCAAACCTATATGGACTAATGGTAATTTCTCAAGGGTGTGTTTGTTGGATTTCAAAACTTTGGACATGTTGATGTCACTGGTCTGACCCACTAGTCAGACCGATTCAACTGCTCGACTCGGGACCTGGCCACTTTGTCAGGTTTCACCTTGGGTCGGTTATTAAAACATTGACAGTGTGTACAAGGCTAAGAACAAATTTACTGTCGTCTGGTTAACAGACAATTAATAGCAGTTATGGTTTCATGCAGGCAAGTTGCAAGTTCCAATCCAAACTAAGGACGGGTTTTTGGAGTTAGTTCACCCTCGCAAGATCTTGACCCTTTGTCCCAGCCATTGTAGCACAAATGTCCTCCAAGGCATAAGGGTGTGATGACTTGATGTCATCCTCACCTTCCTCCTACTTATCACTGGCAATCTGTTTAAGGTTTCAAACTCAAAGGTGGCAACTAAGCACAAAGGTTGTGCTTGTTGCAGAATTTAACCCAACATCTTATGGCACGAGCTAATGACAACTATGCACCACCTATGTTTGTGTTCTCGAAGGCACCCCCCTTCTTTCAAGAGGATTCACGACTTGTCAAACCTTGATAAAAATTCATTTTGCATTGAATTAAACCATATACTCCACCCCTTGTGCGGCCTCACCAATTTCTTTTGAGTTTCATTCTTGTGAATGTACTTAACTGGTGGGATACTTTACTCGTTAGCTATAGTATTGTCGGGGGACACACAACACTCAGTATTCATTGTTTTGGTTAAGTAGAATGGAAATCTTATTCATTTCTTTTTGTTTAAAGTTTTTCCAAACTAGCAATTCATGTTATTCCATTCCTAATTTAATTTTTCCTTATAAACTTAAAAAAAAATTATTTTCAATTGAGTCGTTTTAGCTAAGATTAGGTCGAAAATAAAATTTCATTTTATGATATTGTAAATGTCTTTAAATTGGAATTTGAACGTTTTTGTATATGCTGGTGTTAATATAGAAATCTACACCAACTAGAGTGATCCGATCGACCTTGGCGAGTTCGGAACTGGTGTGTATATGATTACGGATAACCAGCAATGAATGAATAATGAATGCAGTAAAGTAAATAGCAAAAAGAATTTTAAAGTGGTTCAGCGAGATGAACTCTTGAGCCTACGTCCACCGTTTTTTGTATTTGCTGTCAGAGCTTACAATAGTAATTCTATGAATATTTTCCAACTTCTTCCTCATCGTTTGAGGGGGTTTATATACAGAGTTTGTACAAGGAAAAGAGCGAAAATAAAGGGATTATAATTAAACTGAAATGCAACTTCGATATTCTCGCGATTGGGTGCTATGATTTCTCAAAGATTGCTGTTAATCTGATTCCTCCCGAGATATCTGAGATATGAAGTTATCTAGGAATTGGTTGAACGATCGCACGGATTGTTCGCGACTAGCTTGTGCTGGGTTGAGCTATAACTCGACGAGCTTATGCTAGGTTGGACAATCGGTGGAGTTGAGCTAGTTCTGGATCAGGCTATAACCTCGCGATACTTCGAGAAAAACAAAGAAAGGAAGACTTTTCTTTTTTCTCCTCTTCCTTTCTTTCTATTTTCTCTCCCTTCATTCTATTTTCTCTCATTTTTCTCTCTCTTTCATTTTAATCTTGGTTTACCATGGCTGACTAAGGCCATAAAGGCGGCCCAATATGGATGGCCATGTAGGGTACAAGACCAGTCAGATTTGGTCAACCATGTAGCCCATGTGGCTGGCTAGATTTGGCTGCCCACATAGGTCATGCCGACGGTTAGATCTACCTGACAATATGGTGAGTTTTGAGTGGATTTTAGAATGGGTTTTATGGTTGCTTTTGTTGTGAGTTATGCTAGATTTTAAGGTGGTGGGAGATGTTTAATGGTGGCTGGGATATGGTTAGCTTTTGTTGTTGTGTTGTTATGTTTGCAAAAATATTGCTACCAATTGTTTTGTATTACGTTCATTGTTGTTTTGGAGAGATTCTTGGCTATGTTTTGAGTGGCTATGTCGTACAAGATTATGTTGAATCAGAAGTCAATTAGAGCTCCAGAATTGCAATTTCCATCAGATACACGAGCAATTAACGAGCTCGAGCTCAAGAGCAAGCTCAAGTTTTCAAACTCGAATTCGCCACTGTGGCTCACAAGCGGAGCCGACAAGCCGAGCTCAAGCCAACAGACACTCGGCTCGGCTTGTATACACCCCTACACAAATCCAAGTTAAAAACATTTTAGTTGCTATGGTTTTAATCCGCTTAGTCAAAAACAATTTATTTTTCACTAAACAAATCGTCCCTCAAATTAACAACGGTTAGTGAAAAACTAACGGGTAGAGAGTATTTCTGACTTTTGTCGGTATCAAATTAATTTAATTAAATAATCAAGGAATTTGATATAATTTATTATAATTATATCTATTTTCTTCAAGTTCAATACGATTTTCTTTTCTTCAAAACAATTACATCAAATTCCGACTTCAATGCGAATTTCTTTCCTGCAAAACCACTTCAACTTCAAATTCACATAGCCATCAGACTTCAAAATCACCGTTGAACAGAAACAAATACACAAAAAGAAAAAAAATCCAGAACCAAAATATCACCAATCCTTCACCAACCAGCTCCCCTTTTTCACCCAGCAACAATTGCCGACCCCCACCCACCTTTCTCCCATGATCCGTAAAGCCGCCCCACCCTTCCCTCATACCCAAGAACCCATTACTCCCTTGCCCGCCCAACAACCCTAAAATAAATTATATCTGCATCAACTTCACTAGGCAAAAAACCACCCCACAACACCATACAATCAACAACAACAACAATAATAATACTAATAATAAAAAGATGACCCCGATAGAGTCACTTGGGGTTTTTTCAGGAGAAAAAAAAAAAAAAAGAAAAGGGCTGGCGAGATGTTTGTGCCCTAAGATTAATAGAAGAATTAGAGGCTAAATGACGTCACTTTTATTGATGCGAGAAGAGAAAGCACAAGTGGTGGAGTCGGTAGTGTTATTTAGTGATGGAGTGGAGGGAGGAGAAAGCAAAAAAGAAGGGACAGTGGAGGAAAGAGGAGGAGGTGGTGGTATAGGGTGAGAGATGGTGGAGAGATTTGTAGAGTTGGCGGTGGGCTGTGTCGTGCTGTGCCTAAAAATTCAAGACTCCGTGGGCTATGCCCAAAGCCTACAAAAATTCTTGCATTGTCATCTCGTGCTGACCCACTAAATTTGAAGGACCATGGCACGGCCCACTATATATAGTGTCGTGCCTTGGACCGTGTCGTGGGCGGCTTGCGTGTTTTGTAAAAATATTTAATATTTATAAATTATGGTAATTTTGATTTATTATTAATAATTATTATAAAAATATTTTATATGTTATATTTAGTGACATTTTGTATTTATATTAATTAAAAAATATATAATCATTATGAAATATTATAAAATAATGAGATATTGAAATATTAATTGAATTTCAATCCTTGTTATTACTTATAAGTTATAATTATAAATTACAAATACAAATTTAGAAATTAGGATTAAGAATTATTATACATCTTTATTTTCATTAAGTTTTAAATTCTTAAAATCTTGAAATATATCTTAGTTGTAAACATAGATTAGTATTTTTTTTTTTAAATTTTTTTCGTGTCGTATTGTGTCAGCCTATGTGCCTTTCTTAAGGTACACGGTACGGCCCTCATAATCGTGGGCCGTGCCATGCTGTGCTTTTTTTCATGCCGTGTTGTATGTTTTTTTGTGCCGTGTTTTGTTCGTGTCGTGCCATGGCACGGCCCACCGTCGGCTGTAGAGATTTGCAACTGAGTGGGTTTATTTTGGGGGTTAGAGATTTATATTTTTATTTCATTTGTATTTGATAATTCGAAGTGTTTTCTTTTTAGGGGTATATAAGACTTTACACAAGACATACAGTATCAAGTAACTGATTTTAGTAACATCTGTTAGTTTGGGGACGATTTTGTTAGTGAAAAAAAAATCTCGCTCTCACCCCTGGTTAGATGACACATGATATGCTAACTATCCTCACCATTAATTCAGGATTTTTACAGAGTATTAATACTTACATGTAAATAAATAACAATTAAATGCGCCATCTAGTGGCCTCAACTCTCAACGGCTATGCTGAAGGAAGAGGGGCATGGAGGTTCATGAACTTCCAAATATCCTTCTAACATGTTCAACACCGTCTTCATTGTAGGCCTTTTAGAAGGATCTTCTTGTATGCACCAGATTGCTACCATCAGCCACTTTTGCAGCCTGCATTTGTCCGCCATGGCCATTTCATCTTCATTTACCAGAACATCTAGCCTTCGTTCAACGTAGCAATCATAAGCCCAATCCGTTAGTATTGCTCTTCTTTCTTCCTCTATTTCCATCACCACACTTCTTCTGCAGCAAATTATCTCTAACAGCATAACACCATAACTATAAACATCCACTTTGGCAGACACAGCTACATTTTTGAACCATTCAGGGGCCACATATCCTCGAGTTCCTCGGATCATGGTTCGAGTTCGAGACTGATCTGAGAGCAACAATTTTGATAATCCGAAGTCGGAAATCTTTGCGGTGAAATACTGGTCTAGAAGTATATTCTGAGGTTTTATATCACAATGGATGACAAGAACACTGCATTCTTCATGCAAGTACACAAGCCCTCTAGCAATCTCCAGGGAAATCCTGACTCTTAGATTCCAGTCAGGTCTTGGAAGTGCAAAAAGGAAATTAGCCAAAGTTCCATTGCTCATGAATTCATATACTAAAAGCCGATTAGTACCTTCATCACAATATCCAAGCAACTGAACTAAATTTTTGTGATGGGTTCTGCCAATAGCACTTACTTCAGTTTTGAATTCCCTTTCCCTTTCTTGAGCCAACTTGTCCAATTTCTTGACTGCTATTGCATTTCTTGAACCAGTTCTGAGGACACCTTTGTACACCGTACCGAAAGAACCTCTGCCTAGTTCTTCCTTGAAGTAATCTGTAGCTTCATTGAGTTCATTGTAAGTAAAGAAACGCAAATTTGATTCAGAATTGCTTGAATCTTGGAAATTATCATTTCCATATTTTCTCTTAGGCAACACAAAGACAATTAGACAAAAAGCCACTAGCAAAAGAACGTTGAAGAATACAGAACCACCCAATAAGAGAGCTCCTAATAAGGGTGATATTCCTTTATTACCGCCAGAATTGGCAGCAAAATCTGGAGAATTTCCTTTCCTGACTTTGAATAGAACTTTTGAGAATCCGGTGGCACTGGATCTTCCATTGGATAGTGGCAATTTCTTCTTCCAACACCTTGCGCCATCAAATATCGCAACAGCACAAGAGCAATCATGCAGGCAATCTTTTTCACACATTGTTTGATTATAGGGTTCCAACCTCTCATAATCTCCCAGTGGCCAATCTACATTATTGAATTCCCTTATTTCATATAGTTCTTCTGGATCTCTGGATGCATCATCACCTCCACACCCTTGTCGAAACGTTGGCTTGCAGTCGCTAAATCTGTTATTTGGATCAACAAATATATAGCCAGGTGGGCAGTCACAACTAAATCTCCCATTTTCAATTGAGCAGTAACTATTGAAGCCACAACCACCCCTGCCAATGTCGTGAAACATAGCTAAACACATGTTTTCAGGAACAACTCGCAGAGGCCACCAACCCTGGTTATCATCAGGGTTCTTTGGACGAGCATATTCTGTGAAAACTCCATCAAAGTCCAAAGTCGCTCGAAAATAGTAATCAGCTCTAGGATTTGCTAATTTAGTCCATGAAGGCAACTGAACAATTTCACCATTAGCTTTTACAATGTAAATGTCGGCTGATTCATTAAAAACCAGCTGATGGCCAGACTCCGAAGAATTAACACTGTAAGTATTACTGTTATAATAAGGTTTATAATTGAATCTAGTCGGCCACGCTACAGGATTGAGCACTAGGCTTCCGTTCATCAAATGGAGCTCAAACCTGCCCTTGGAGAAATTGGTTTCTGTCACCTTAGAAACCAGCATACTACCCAAATCCAATCTTTGCGTGGGTAAGATAGTGTCTCTGGGATCCTCGAAACTCTGCCAAACATAGTTAGAGCCATTACCTATTAGCACGAAGTTTCCTGTGTCAAGGATGGCAGCTTCATCCGCAACTCTGGTGGAAGGACTTGCACTCCATATTGTTTGGCCTCTAGGATCTTTCAGCGAAAGGCCGTCTGTCGTAAGCTCAACTTTTGATCCTCTTGGAGCTGGGTTATCTCCATCGGCGTACCAAACAATAGTTTTCTCAGGTATTTTGTTGAACCAGATGGCGAGTAAGAAAAGGTCTGAATTGTTAAGGTGGCGAAAACCAAAAGCAAAGTCACCTGAAGGTGACAGCCATGAAGAGTTGTCACTGGTGGTGGACAGAGATGAACCCAGGCTTATGTTGGCCGCGGACAAACAAGGTAATATTTGAAGAAGAGAAAGCAAGATTAAACTAGAAAGAGCTAAAGAAGCCATACTAAGATGTTGCTGCAATTTTCGGAAGAGAGCAAAGCATATATTGCTGCCAGTCAATTATGCACAACATAAAGTAATCTAGATTATGTATAAACATAAATACATTGGATATATTTAATAAGAAAGGAAGACCAAGTCTTTGAAGCATAAATAGTATGGTTGGACTTGTGACTTTTCTTTGTCAATTTAATATAAAAAATCAGAGATGGTTGAATTTTTTGAATTCTCCCATTCTTAATAACCTATTTGTTTCAAATTGGAAGAATTTCATCAAGATTTATCAATTAATTAAGTGCAGTAACCATCAACATGAAGGAACCTAATTTTACTCGTTCAAATAAGGAGGGCATATTGTGGTTTATATTTTGAATTATTCTTATGTTTGAAAATAAAAGTAAAAGATAAAAGAAAGCAATATGAAAATATGGATAGTCAAAATTGATGTTTTCATAAATAAATATAGTTTGAAAAGATTTTCTTTTACCTTTGAATCACATGTTTCTTTTATTTTCCATACAAACAAAAAACGGAATGCATAAAATTTATGCTTAAGAAAAGGATGCTGAACTACTGCAACAACTACGATAACTAAATTAGTGAAAAGTGATTATGATTGAATAATTATCATGACTTGGTGACAAATTGGAGGCCAGCTGTGCGGAAAAAGTTTAGTCAAGTCAAAAACGTGGCCATGAATCATGATGGTCACTATCCTTATATTCACTAAACTAAAAACACAGGAGTCTAATTTTAAGCCTTTTAAATTTTATCATTAACCTGGCATCTATTTACACACGGCATTACATTATAGATTATTTTTAAGCTTTTTAAATAACTTTTGTGTTTTTTATTAATAGATCCTCATATTTTCAAAAATATGTTATGGATAACCCCCTTTGCTCTAATTTCATTATGTTATCATTTGTGATAACTTCTATCTTATAAAGAAACAGAATTGGAATAAGGGATATTTGTTATAAAGTTTTAAACTTTGAGAGTTCATTTGATAATGCAATAGGGTATGAGTACAACATTTTTCATACCTTAATTATATATTTGATATAAAGTGTAAAAATTGTTATCTGAATAATAAATTGAAAAATCTTATAGATAGTCCATGACATTCTCCCATTTACAAACCAAACTATGTTTTCTTTAAACTCATCAATAGAGGAAGCAGATAATTACAAAATTTACGGTGAAAGGGTTGAGATTACATCCATATTTCTCAACTTGAAAAAGCAAAGGACGTTTAATTTAGTAATCTTCAAAATTAATCAAAAAAATTGAATTAAAAAAAAAATTCAATCATTAAAATTTGGGTATTTAGTTGAAATCAGTACATTTAACAAAGGGTTAATTGCAACGATTACCCCTAAGGTTTCGAAAAGTGAAGGTTGGATGTTGACTTTAGGGGCATTATACAAAACCAACCCTTTAAGGTTTAAAAAATTAGTCAAATAACTCAAAAAAATTAAAGTGGTAGAAGGGTAAGAAATGAATTTCACATTGTTAAAGTGTGAAGCCCAAAACGCTGATGTTTTTGCATACAACGCTTATTAATACGCTGCTGTTTAATACTCATATGAGACAATCCTAGCCATTGAAGCAATCAACATCCAGCCGCCAGAATTCATCCAACAAGTCAACCATATCTAAGCAAGCATTTTCTACAAAATCGAAGAGCTCTCTCTCTTGTGCGATTAGGGCTCTTTGTGCTTTGATTAGGGTTCTTCAATGTTGTCTCAAATCTGTATAATCTATGTTACAATTTGTGTAATTGTATAGTGAGGGTAGTATTTCCTTCAGGATTAGAAAGGCTGGTCCAAGTTTCTCTAGAGATTAAGGGTTTGAATGCTTTGTTCAAGATTGAGAGTTGTGCGTGTCTTTGAGAATTGTTGTAATCTGTAAAGAACTCTTGATTCCTAGTGCAGTGAGCCCTAAAATTCCTGGAGCTCAACATGGACGTAGTCTTTTCAATTCTTGGAAGGCGAACCATAGTAAATCTGGTTGTTCTTGTGTTCTTGATCTTTTGTGTGTGTTGATTTGTTAGTTTGTGTGTGATTAGGGTTAATTGATCACGAATTGGTATAACAAACATTATATTTGATGGGTAAGATTGGAATTTCATTAGGTAAAAAATTAAAAGAATAAAAAAAAAACTAAACCCACTCATCTTGCACCAGTCATCTTCCTCAACTACTCTTTGAACAATCTACACTAAAAACTTTGAAACAAAACCCACAATCAAGCTTTCTAACCATCATATTCATCCTCTTTTAATTCCACATCACCTAACCAACTAAAAAAAAGGCGTTTTATGTGCAAGTCTTTGACAGATGTTTTGCAAGCATACGAAATCGTGCAAGTAATAAAGAATGAGAAACGAATGTCAAATCCCAAGAGAATTATTAGCTACCATGTACCAAAATAAACCATCCTATTACTATTTAGTTAAATGAATCTTAGAAGAGTAACTTAACTTAAATCAACAAATCTAAAACAAATTAAAAATCTAGAAGAAAATAAAATTTAAAAAAAAAAAAAAAAACTCTCTGGTTGTAATTGAATGAAATAGAGGCAACAACAGGAACAAAATATGACAGTAAAACAAATCAAACAGTAAACAAAGAAAATAACACGTGCGATTTACCCTGGTTCACCCAATGTGGGCTACGTCCAGCTGAGTCAATATTATTGCAATATGCCTCACCTCTCTCGTTTACAATGACTGAATTGCCCTATGATTTGCTATCACTTCTATAACAAGAGAAAAGTATGTTTATATACTAGGTTTAAGAGACTAAACCTAGTTTTACAAGGATTCCTATTCCTAAACCCAACCTAATAAGGAATTAGTAACTTAAAAGAAATCCAACAATGGTTATACATGGAAAAGCCCAAAATTGCCTACAGGCTCGGGGGCGTTGCCCTTGCGACCCCCGCCCGCTCACCGATTAGCGAGACCCCCAAATGCGTCTGCGTTACCTATTAATGCTGAAGTAGTCGACAATTCTAACAGTAATGCAAATTTTATTAAACCTAAGGCATAGATTTCACATCAATTCTATTTTTATGCATTGATGATTATTGCTAATATTATTAGTTTTTTCTACAGGCCAAACTCCCTAGAATTCCAATAACTTTCTCTGGAACAATTACTGGATTAACCATTTATTATTAATCCAAGATATCTCTAAATCGGATTTAAGTCTTAAGAGATCATTACGGTCTATGAAATTTATCAAAACCTAACAGATTGCGGTAACCTATCTTTAGCATTCGCTTAATCTATGATTTTATTACATTAAACTAACTAGATTTCATCTCTCAATCTTAACCTAGTCCATTATATCAATCAACTCTCAAGCCTAAAAGAATTGAAGCATTACGAACCATAATAAAACTTAGAAAAGATATGCTTAACAAATATTAACATTAATTAATCAACACATATTCATAAAATTGGGCTACATCTTAGCCCTAGAAAATACTATTTATTTCATAATTGAAAAAAAAAAAATAAACAACCATCGTAAACATGAGTTCAAGAAAAAGATAAAAGAAAACTTATCTAGATGATGAACCAAAACCCCATCTCTTCTCTCTACCGTCTCTCTCCTAAAATAGCTAAAGACTTCTATTTATAGTGCTGGTGTAACAAGAAAAATTTTAAACCAAAATAAAGCAAGGAAATTCGGACTAGGCTTAACACAGCCCATACAGGCCCAAGTGCTATCACTGCAGCGACAAAAATCTTTGCTGCGGCGAACGCACCAATTATGAGATTCGTTTCACCTAAAACACGCTCACCGCAACGACATAAATCTTTGCTGCAGTGTGCGTTATTTTCCTCTAACGAGCCTGATATATTCAGAATTTGACAAAGTTATTCACATAAGAATTGTAGCTCTATGAATCAGCTTTCCAACGACACAAGAATAATCCAATTCCGAGGTCTACAGATCAAGTTATGGTCAAAATACTAAAGCAAGTTCACAATTGAAGAAATTTCCATATTCGAATTTCATCTTCAAAACACCATAACTTCTGTCACCAATATTATGCTTCATTCAAATATCATTCATGGCCTAAAAATACTCAAAACACATCTACATTCCCATAAAAGATATTTATGAAATAATTAACTTAAATTTTCCAATTTAAACTAATTTTCCCACAAATAATCTTAATATATCACTAACTAAAAATGTATTTCCAAGCGCTTATCACAACCCCCAACCAACTTCTTGCTAATGCTAGCCCCTAGCAAGCTAAGCAATAAAACAAGTCTTTTAGCTTGAAAATAAAAATAAAAATAAACAAACTAAAACCTATATCTAAACTATCGTAAATCACTTCCGTGGATTGTCATGGTTGCATTAGCATGCAACAAACCTTTAAACTCTTGGGCGACCCTAGCTGGATGAGTTGTAGTCTCGTAAGGGTTTCTAGTGATGATACCCACAAACACCCAAACCAAGCCTAACCTATATTCAACACTAAAGATACAAACAAAAATTCTCAGATCAATACATATATTTATCTCAAAAATTGCGTCTACATGCACAATTTGAATAATTAATGTCACGTAAATATAAAGAATAAGCAAATATCAATTACACTTTTGTTATAGACCCTCTCATATAATCAACCACAAACCATTTATTTGAAAACCCGGATGATTTTATACACAGCTTTCATAAGCAAATAAATTTGATCTCTCAAGAATTTTTTTCTCATAAAAAGAAACAATAAAAATCGTACAATCAAACTCCATAGGCTCACTTTTCAAACCACTCACCACTAATATAGAATCCAAACACTAACTTGGATCATTAGGTCTATATTACGGTTGTAACGTTAGGCTGAGGTAATGCGTTATGAAAGAACGGAAAGGGATTTTGCAAGTGTAAGAGACTTAATCTTTTTCACAATATGATAACCATGAACAATCTCCTTTTTGCTTCTCTTTTCTTTCACCATTGAACTATTCCTAC